AGATAAATCATCCCGTTGTGTAATCCCGTTAGAGCATCTCTTCTCCTCGATTGTCTTTAGGAATTATTTCCCATCTCCCATTGATATTACCATTTTCCTCCCGATTATCAACGAGTGTCAGCTTCATTCAGCCGATTGTTTCTGCCTCGTTAAACCTCGCGATTAAGGTGATCCTATAAGTACTCTCTGATCAGAACACAGATCGAATTCCTCCAAATCAATTTCCAAATTGAAAATAGAACTTTTGAAAAACTGCAGAACCACCTCGAAGAGAGGGAACGGCCGTGACCGGGATAAAAAGTCGACGGAATCAGAGAGCCGTGGAAAATCCAGTCGGTTCGTAATTACGGGCCGAAGTTCGAGATACCAAATTGGGTTTACCTAGATATCCTCAGAAAATAATGCGATCTCAGGTTAACCGCGTCGTTAAATTGAATCGTTTCTGTTTAACCCGCGAGATCAACTCGGCCGGAGTGTCTATACATTTTTGCTCGCGCATTTCTCCAGATAGGAAACGGAAGCTGGGAACGAATTTACGACGGGGTTGCTCGTTTTTTATGCTCGGGGTGCAGGCTCGAAGACAGGATTCCCACGGTACGTTTCGAAAGGATGATAAATAGGTGTCGTTTCTGGGTCGCGGCGTGGGCTGGATGTTAGGTTGCTGACGCTTCTAACACGACTAACCGTGTTACGACCGTTCCTCGTAAATAAGGAAGCTTAACCACGTTGGTAACCGGTGTTCTACGTTCTAGTTTCGTCTCGTCAGCTTATTATACCTAATAGACGTGTCTGGTCACGATTCAACAACAATTGTGATACGAATTTTTCTACTCGTCTAGAAATCGTTTACTACTTTTACTTTTGAACAATTTTCAAGGATAACGATGATTGAAATTCAGAAACAGGAAGGAAAACTAGAAACTGTGAAGTGTGACGTCGATTAAACGTCGAACTCGTTAACGAGCGCAATTTCCACGCTGCTTACAAATTCTTGAATCGACGAGCTGTCGAAAATTCATCGTCCAAGAGTTAGCGAGTGAACGTTTGACAAACAAGCTGCAAACGATGGAACGCGAAATAATGATCGCGAAATCGTCGGTAGAGACCGTGACAACGGTACGATTTTTCACGCGCGTGTACGTGCGACACTTGCCATTTCAGCCGCTTTGTGAAAAGCCCACGCCGCGCCTCTTTTCACGGACAATCGTCGACGGACCGATCACGCGGCTATTTTTCCCACCGAAATAAACGCAGCCTTGTGAAACTCTCTGACCCAAACAGTCGCTCCTGTGAAACGTCGAAAGGCCAGTGAAGCCAACGATTCGTGAACGATTCGTCTTCGCTACTCTTTTGTCTTCTCGCAACTCGTGATCAACACTCAAGTGGATCAGCAATTTTTATTTAATATTAGACTTCAATTCTTCGCTGTTAATACTTATTGATTTTACTTGTGAATCAAATATAAGAGAAATTAAAATAAGAAAAATTAGAATACGTTTAACACTAGATTGCCCAAGGAAGTCACTTTGACTGCTTTTGGGCAAATGTACAAATAATAATGCATAAA